GTTATTGTCAACAAAAGTATAAAAATATTAGACTTGGAATAGTAGAAATTAAATTAAAATAAATAAATAATAAGAAATAAATGAATGAGTAAATAAATAAATACATTATAAGTATTTATGAATTTAAAAAAAAATTATACGCGAGAATCGAACCCGAGAACTCAAGCTTACGAATCGGACTCGTTACCACTCTGTCACAGGACGCTCAAATAGAAGTACGTATAATTTATATATAAAGTGCTAAAAAACTTTAAGCTCGATTTTCTTGATTATATTTGAGTATTGCACTTTAGTATTTTACAGGTAGTACACTCACATGGTGTACTACCTCTAAACCAAAGATCATCAAAATCCGTTACCCCAAAGCCGTAGGCTCTCCTTGTTAGATTTAAAATTACAGTAATTCTCTAAATTCTGGAAACACAATATTAAACCTACATAACTTTCTTTAAAAGCATTGTAAGATATTACTGTTCCATAAAATAGGTGGTTTTTCACATTTCTAAATGTAACTGTACAAATTTCAAATTACAATACTATTTCAAATGATGAATTTAGCAATCATCAGAATTAATTCCAGTGAACATAACTTATAGTCTATGATTAAAATAAAGACTTTAAATCACATATTTTAAAATATTAGATTCTGTTTTCTTCAGATGATGATAATCTATATCTAAAATTAAAAACTTGATTAAATTTAGTGGTAACAGATAAAAATAAAATATTTGGATTTATCATATTAATTAGTTATGATATTAATTTATAATTTTAAAAGAAAGCTGTTACTATTATTTTAATACATTAAATATTATATAATTTTATAATAATAACAAAAGTTAAAAGATAACTATGAGAGCTACATTATTAAAATGTTTGAAAAATTAAACTTTTAGTAATAATAGAGTGAGACAAAAAATCTGGACTGAATTTAAAGCATCATAACTTTTGAACTCAAAAAGATAAATTTCAAAATTGTCATGCCAAAAATTATGTTATTACACACACTCAGTTACAGAATGAGTTTTTCAAATATTCGTGATTCAATTCAGAAAAATTATTTCAAAAGATGACATATTAAGAGATTGCATTGCACAAATGAACAAAAATAAAGTGAACCACTGAAACAAATTGGTTGTGGAGCATTTTTTAGATGAAGGCCATAGCAAATCAACTGTATATAATATTTTGAAAAGCATGAAATATTTGGAACATGGAAAAGAAGGCCAGAAAGTGGAAAAAAGCTAGTTGTTATAAATGCTAAAAACAAGAGGGCATTGCAAAAAATGTTTGACAACAAAGACGCAGTTAGCCGGGAGGAGGCAGGTACAAAGTTCAATTGTTGTCGAACATACATAGGAAAAACCACTTCAGAAAATGGGCATAAAAAAAAGAAAACAAGAAGGCCCCAGAGTACACTGCCAAAATCCAAACAATGCAGATGGCTCATAAGAAACTTTAGAAACAAAATGTTCGTTTTGAATGATAAAAAGTACTTTTCTCTCTCCAGAATGTAAATACCAGGAAATGAAATTTACTACATGAGCAATGAAAATCGACCACCTCCCAAAGTGAAGTACAAATTTAAGAAGAAATTTCAAGCAAAAGTCATTTCACCAGGAAATGTTTCAAAGTCAAATTTTAAGAAGGAATCCCTCATAATTGATGCTGACACATACCAAAATGAACGTCTAAAGAAAATTCTAATCCCTTTTCTTAACAAGCATCATCAAAATGACAATTTCATCTTTCGGTCTGACAAAGACTCATCACACTATGCAAATTTGACCATGGAGTTCCTCAAGGCCAAAAAAATTCCTTTTGTACCCAAACAACATAATCTGTCAAACCTGCCACAATGTAGTCCAATCAAGTTTTTCTTTGAATATATAGCATAAATATTATACAAGAAAAGTTGGCCAGCAAAAAATACCACACAAGCAATCTGAAGAATCAGACTTTCACTTTAAAAAAATTGACACAAAGGCCATCCAAAGGAGTTACAAGTCTATGAAAAGAAACTTACAACACATTGTCAACCATGAGCCATATGATTGTGTTCATTAATTCTAGACTATTGTAAATAAAAGTTCTTTTAAAACAAAATAATATTTAATAGTTACTTCAATTTTTTGATAAAATATTATGCTTTAAATAAAAACAGTCTAGATTTTTTTTTGTCTCACCTCATTAGTAATAACTACCAAAAATTTGTGGATTAATTGCAATTATTTATTACTAAAGTTGTAATTCTTAATATTTAATTTTCATTTTATGTAAAAAAAATTCTCTTTAAGAAGTCAGAAAGAAAATAATAATAATTATTTTTCTAAACTTATTATTTTATTATTATTTACCCTGTTCATTTTTTCTTTCTTGAGCCGTCTGAAACCATTTCCTCTTTGTCCCATTATCTTCTGGCTGATCTTTAATTAAGTTTTCAACTTTTTGAACTTTTCTTTCAGTATTTTTCAGTGCTTTTTCCTCTTTTTCTTGACGAATAAGATTTTCAATTCCTTCTTCTAAATTATTTAATTGTTCTTTGTATTTACAAATAATTTCTGTAAATTTATAAACATGTAATTAACAAAAAATATTAAATATTTTAATTTAACAATACTTTACTTATTGTAAAATTTATGAATCAATAATAAATATTTTTATAACCTTGAGGAACAATTCTTTGTTTCACTGGCTTATTAGTTTTTTTAATGATCTCTTTTAATAATTTTCGTTCTCCTTCTCCAACAAGAGATACAGATCTTAAAAAATATATTAACATAAATGAATAATTCTTATATTAAAAATGTCATTGGATAAATAAGTTAATGACACTTTCACTTAAAATAAATTTTAAAATGGGGAAAAAAATGATTGATAAATAATTACCAATTTAGATTTTTAAAAATTCAAATAATATTCAATTAAATAAACAACTTACCAAATCAGAAAAAATTAGATCATTCTATTTCAGCAGTTCCCAACCTTTTTTGACCTGAGTATCCCTTGGTAGTCCATTTTTCTAAGTTTTATTTCACATGTTAATCAAACAGTGACACCTTGGTCAATTAAACAGTGCTGTACAATTATATATATTTTTATTTAAAACTAAGCATCGAATGTCATGATGTTGCCAAAGACCTCAACACAGAATCTGAATATTTCTTACTGTGAATCTGTTATTAAATTTTTCCGCATACCCTTGGTTGGGAATTGCTGTTCTATTTGATTATATTGCACCTGGAGTCATTTGAAAAAATTCTTACACTACTATCTCAAAATTATGTAACAATTACATAAATTAATTTATTCAAAAATAAAAATACTCAATTAATATATAATTGGATGCCTGTATTCAATAAAATAAATGAGTTTTGTTTGCTAATTTCACAAACAAAACTCATTTATTTTTATTGATTGAATAGTGACATCCAATTTATATATTAACTGAATATTCTCTGTTTTATAATCAATACAATTTTGTCTCTATTTGAGAGTATTTGTAAATTTTATTTTAAAGTATATTTAAAGTAGAAACTATTTGCCTAATTGAGATCTGAATTTGAATTGGGTTTTGATCTAGTTCTTATAACTTTAATTATATGCAGTCTGTTTATTTCTACATTAACCAATAGCATTAAGAATCAAAAGAAAAATATAAAAGTTTTTATAATTTATTTTCTAAAACTTTGTACAGGGGCCATGCTGCATTAGCACCAAAATTGCCACTTGGCAATATTTTTATTAAAGTGGCAATAAAATTCCTAGTACACTTATTTTGACATTCAGAAAAAAATTGAATCACAAAGCATGCTTCAGGAAAGCAGCAAAATGCCAAGCTTCTGTGCAATGGGAGTCCCATGCACCAAACACAGCAATGTACAACATCACATTGAAAATTTTGACAGGAAAGCAGTTTTCGTGCAATGCTGCCCAGCATTTCCAGATTGGAGATTTTTTAAACAAATTTTCTATCGACTGATAGAAAATTTGGAAATTTTTGGCAGTAACAACTTTTTCACATTGATCCTTTTTCAGTAGACCAAAACATAAAAATTTTGACATGACATAACCTATGAAATAGGCCTACTGCTTAAGCATTGTGATCAAATGTGTTATTCAAAATTATTTATTAAAAAATTATTCAAAAATGATTCCTATTTCTAAGGGAAAGCTTAACAGCTTTTGCTTTTCAGATTCCAAATTTATAATGTTACCAGCACCTGCATTAATTATTAAGTAAAACTAGTGATGATAAATAATTTGAAATGGCAAAAAAAATTTAAAACTGGCAAAATAGTAAATTTTTAAATTTTCCAGAGCAACTCCTGTTTATATGTAATTAATATGACAACCATAAAAATATTTTTAATCTACATAATAAATAAAATGCATTTATCATTTTAATTTACATAAACTGTTTTTATATTATACAAGTGAGACAAAAATCATTTAACAGTGACCCATTTAAAAAAAGGTTGGGATAAAATGTCTGTCTATGCAATAATAAAACACTATAAATATCCAGCAAATACATTTTAATTGTAATGTTTTCAACCATTTTGAAAGGCCATCATTTGTAATTATAACATATTTATTGGAGATTTATGGTTGTTTTATTAAAACTAGTCATATCCAGTTGAAATTACATTAGTCTATTTACATATTAATTGATTTTTTAATTTATTTTGCTAATAGTTTAATTCTTCTAATTTATTTATTTCTTATTAAAATAATTTCAGATTTTTATTTTATTTCATCTTTCATTAATAAATACATCTGACTGTCAAGTGACTTTTTTCTCATCCTAAATACACAAAATTTATATTTATTAATTGAAATTATCATTGAAAATATTTAAAAGAATATTCCTGTATACTCTTCAACTAAATCTTTACAATTAATTATCCAGTAAAAAATTATTTAAAAAGTAATTTTCTATTTGATAAATGATTTACAAATAGTGATTAATTAATTTTTTAAAAGGCAGTTATTTTACCATAACTGACAAGCATAATAGTAATCACAATAAAAAAAATGATAAATATGCAAGATAATTATTTTGATGCATATATACAAAAGTAGGATTAAAATATTTTATTTATAAAAAATCTTTTATCAATTTCAGTCTCTCAGATAATAATTCTATACTCTACCTTCCACCTTTTCCTGCTCTAGCTGTTCTTCCAACTCTATGAATATAATGCTGTAATGTTCCAGGTAATGAAAAATTAATTACCTAAATGAAAAAATTAAATTAAACTATTAAACTGATTTAAAACAAAAGATTTATTAAATTTAAATTTCATTCAATACTTTTAAAATTAATAAATTCACTAAAATTTTTAAATATTTATAGATTTGTAATGATACATGTCAATTTTAATAGATTATTTACAGCTAAAAGCAGTTTATTAAGTTTATTAATAAATCTTAAAACACTAAAGTTTTTGATTGTTAATTTACTACCATAAAAGTTTAAGTAAATGTTTTACAAAATGAAAATGAATAAAATTATAAGTTCATTATATTTGAATATTGTATAAGCTGCAGTACTAAAATTAAAAGTCCATTTAATGACCAAAAAAGTTCCTAAAATTTCTAATTACAATGTTTAATTTTTTACTATTATGCAAATGTGATTTTGATTTGTATGGTGGTAGTTCCAGCAGAGGTATAGCTGCAGGAAGGATTGCAGTCTTTTGGATTCCATGAGTAATCTATGAAGAATATCTGCTGGAGTAAGGCCTATTTTGTTATTCTATTTTATTTTTCCATCAATAAGTAAACTTTTAATTTTAGTTCCACAATTCATTATACAATTTTATGTTTTAATATTCAAATTTTTTTAATGTTAATTAAATTACTTATTTTATGCTTAATATGGACTATTCAGTAGTTTTTTTTGTAGCTTAATATAAAGTAAACAAATAAAAATGTAAAACAAATAAGTATCATGCACACAATATGCATTAGACATTATCACAAACTTCTTGACAAAATTACTGAACAATAACATGATGACAAAATTTATTATTATTGTTTAATTGTAACATTTCCAGAATAAGAAAAATAATGAAGAATAGTAATCAAACATAGAACAATTAAATTTACAATTTTTGAACATTCAAAATAGAATATTTTATTTTTTGTTTTTTTCAAAATTAAAATATTTTGATAAATATGATTCTCAAATTATGGTTCTTTCTTAGATAAATAATAAAATTAAATCCAATGTAATTTTCAATAACTCAATATAAAGGTTTAATTACTGTATTTCCTCAATTCTAATATGCACTTTTTTACCCATTTTCTTTTTTTGTCTGAAATAGAGATGCATCTTACATTTATACTCAAAATTTCTGTATGGTCCATATGATCTACCTCAATCAGCACTCATTGAGAGTACACCATATGATTCATTTTAAACTAATAATAGATATTCTTATATTTTGCAATATATCCAAGAAATATAATATTCAATGCTCACATCAATTCAAATGAGCTTTCCTGAGAACAAGTGTTTAATTTAAACACCTTTATTAATGTTTAAAATGTCTTCAAGATAACATTACAATGTAGCATTTAAATGAAGTTACAAACAATAAGATTTCAGTTATACTAAATTTTTATTATTCAAATTATAATAAAAGTTTAAAAAATGCTTATTTTGAATGAATATATTAAATTTGATTAATCTGTATTATATTAAATTGTTTCTTTTTCTTTTAATATTGATCTGTTTCAATAAAAAATGTTCAGTAAAAATAAAATATTAACATTCAATTAATTATTTTCAATTTTTAAATAATACAATAACAGAAACCTGTCTAAAACAGAATTCAACAACACTGGATAAAATTTCCACTTTCACAAATTTCTGTTTTGTACAGGATTAGGTTTTATTAATGCAGAAAAAAAAAATGTTTGTTACAGGTCATATTTAGAACTGATTCTCCTCCAATATAAGTGTTATATGTTTCAAAGATATGTTGAAAATATCAAAATGTGTTCCTGGTGAATAGAGGAAGAAATCTATGTAAAAACCAATACCTACAAAATTGAAATACAGAATGTATTTCAATTTTGTAGGTATTGAAATACAGAATGTATTTCAATTCCTAATAGGAAGTGGTACACCAGGTTAAACTAACATGAAACTTTCAATTTTTATTTAAAAATGACTTACATTGTCTATAAGAATAATTGCTCTTTCTTGTCTTTTGTCTGAAATTAATTTTTGATGTTCCTCATATCAGTATTTAAGTATTGAATTTTGACTAGTTTTGAGAATTTTGTCAAATGGCACTTATTGCTTCTTTTTTTGTCTAGCTTATACAAAGTTTTTCCACTCTTTCCTTATTAGTGTTTGGTGCTAAAATGTTTTGCTGTGATGACTTTTATTTATAAAAAATGGAAATACATTGAATTAAGTTTATTTTCAGTATCTATTTTTAGATTTTTCAGCATGTGAATTTTTACCTAACAATAGTGCATATTTTTAAAATATTAATGTTCTCCTGGGAGAGAGTTCTAAAGAATTTGAGAGAAACAGCAGTAATGTATTATCTCAGATACTTCCCAGACAATGGAAATACTATCTTAACAAATAAAAAGTTGATGGACTGTAATTGTTGTCAGTGAGAAGTTGACCATAATCCAAGACTGCAAATCAGAGAATTAATTTTAATTTAGAATTTAGCTGCTGTTATGTTGAAAAATTCACTTTTTTTCACATTATGTTAAGGAATTGGTACTGAATTATAAATAGATCAAATATATTATGCCAGAGTGTAATACAAAATAATAAAAACTTTAGTTTAAACTTGATAAAGTTTTTCAAAAAATTGTCCTAAAAGAAATTGGAATTTTATGATTATTTCACATTCAAAAAAGTTAGTTCTTTCATCATCATAATTTTATATTATATTTTTTTATTATATCATATTTCTTTGATTCTAAAACAAACTATGACTTTGAAATAAATTTTAAGAGAGACAAAATTTTAAAATAATCAATTTTGTTAAATAGCAATTAGTTAAAAAAAAAAATACAAGTACTAGATATTGTTTGGCACTTCTATTTCTATAGTCTTTTGCTTACAGCATTAAAAGAAAAGTTATTATACATCATAACATTGTCTTGAACACATTTTAAATGTTAAAATATTTAAATCAAATGCTCATTTCCAGCAAACTTCATTTGAGCTTATGTAATTATTGAACAGTATAGCCGTAATAGCAAACAGTATAGCCGTAATTATTGAACAGAATCCGTAATAGCCAAAACATCTATTACGGATGCATAATGCACTGTGTGGTCTATTTTTGATGATTATTAATTGTTGTTTGTTTGTTAAGTTATGGCAATGCAACACTTGGGCAATCTGCCTAGGGGGATGCCTTCCGAAAGGTCTTTTAAGGGTAACTGGCCATTATATTCAGGCATTACAGACATTACAGATGTGGAAAAACCCTGAAAATGCCACATGGACAGCCCATCCCATGACCGAACTCCCAGTGTTCAGGGAACAGAACCACTTGGCCACAGGTGGGCTAAGACTATTAATTGTTATTTTACACTATAAATGAAAGAAGCCATTGACTGTAAGAGGTATCTCTATTTTAAACAAATAAAGATGAGCAAACAAGTGTATCTTAGAATCAAGGAATGACAGTTGTAAAATTTTTTTAAAAAGTGATGTTGTCTGACAGAAATAAGTAGCAACAATGGATGTACAGTAGAACCTCGAAAACTTGGCCTAATGTGGACCGAAGGGTGGCCGAGTTTGTGAAAATGCCGGGTTATCGGGAATGGAGTTAAGAAAAAATAAGTACGAGTGTTTCCTCAGAAAATACTGTACTGTACTTGTATGTATTGTTTACTTGAGAATATAACAGAGAATAAACTGCCCAAATACCCTTAAACAAAGGAAAAGTACGTTCTTTATGAAGGCATAGAGCCTTTACTACATGAAAATGAAAATATGTGAATATACTGTGTACAGTAATTTACCTGATAAGACAGACCTCAGAAAAATACTTTATGAGAGCTTTTATACTTTTATGAAGCTGTCTATAATGAAAATTAATTAACTAAGGATTTTTTTGCTCTGCCAGGGTGTGGCCGAGTTATCCGGAGTGCTGGGTTATCGAGAGCCGAGTTTTCGAGGTTCTACTGTAATATTCTGGCTTCTGTAACATCCTATGATAAAAAGTGTATAGAAGTTAATTAAGATACTGAGTGTAAAGCAGTTGGAAAACTCTAATTCGTTTTAAGATCATTTTAATTAACTTTAAAAAGCTTAAAAATTTAAAATATACACAAAAATTCTCATCAAAGATAAAAATAAAAAAATTACATACAGTTTTAACTCCTTCTATATCTAATCCTCTTGCAGCAACATCAGTAGCAACAAGAACATCAGCAATTTCTTCTTTGAAACGCTGTAATGATTCTAGACGATGACATTGATTCATATTACCATGTAATTCAACTGTTTTCACTCCTAATAACCTCAATAAAAGATAGAGTCTATGCACTTGTTTTTTTGTTTGAACAAAAACCATAGTGCGATGATGAAATGTACGACAAATCAATGCTGAAATTTTTTAAAATGTCATATTAATAATATAAAATTAAATATCTTAAATTATTTCAAAAATATGAAAAAGCATTTATGTAATTTAAAAATGTAAATAATAGATAGAAAATAATTTAATAATTAGTAAACAACAAAAAATTAATTTTTGTTTTAAAAAGAAACTTACAATAAAAAGTTTTTTTACTTTTAGTTCAAGATTCATTCATTTCTCTACATTACAGCTAGAAATAAATATATCTGAATAAATTTGAAATAAAAGTAAAAAGTTTATAATTTCTGCAAACAAGCTATACTATTTAGATGCTTCAAAATCAAAATATTCTAGTGTCAAGAATTCCTTGTAAACAAAGACAAACTTTTTCAATACTGATATATTTTCAAAAATTATTTTTATTAATTACTAATGTTTATTTCATTATTAAATAAAATTTATTAAAATGTTCAAAACAATTTTTTTTTATTTTTCAAAATAGTAAAAGAAGCAAAATCAGTTTATCTAAAGTATACTGCTGGTCAAATAAAATGCAACACTATGTAGGACTCTAGATATTGCAGGTGTTGCATTTTACTTGGCCAGCAGTGTACATTCTTTTACATAAAAAAATTGTTATTAACTGCACTTTTCTAAAATAAACAATTTTGATATATAAATAATAATANTAATGTTCCCTGATGGAGATGATCATTTTCAGCAGGATAATGCACCTTGTCACCGTGCTCAATTGGTCTCAAATTAGTTAGAGGAACATCAATCATACTTTAACCTGCTTCCGTGGCCAGCTCAGACCCCTAACCTCAATCTTTTAATCAAATTTTATAATCTGCAAAATATGCCATTAACAGTGGTATGATAAAAATTCAGATACCAGTGATTTCTCACAAGAAAAAATTCATTGAAAGCAATAAAATAAGTTTCAAACATCTTTCTCTCTTTTCTAGCAATTTCTTTAATTAAATCAAAGAACTAATGTTTTCGGCTATTTTAAATGGCTTTCTTCAGATTAAGCATAATTGGAACATCAGAAAATTTACATTCTAACTGATGTTCCAATTATGCTTAACCTGAAGAAGACAATTTAAAATAGCCAAAAACGTTAGTTCTTTGATTTAATTAAAGAAATTGCTACAAAAGAGAGAAAGGTGTTTGAAACTTATTATAGAAAAGTTCTAGTTTACTGCACATAGAAAGCAATAAAACTTGCTCAATAGAACTTCTAAAAACATAATTAATTTACATATACAATTACTTTAAATACTTGAATTAATCTACATATCTAAGGAAATATGTTAATTTTTATAGTAAGAGAATAATTAAATGCAGATTTTGTTGAGAAAATTTAAAATTGTTGACAATATGAAAATAAAAAAAATGTCTGGTTTTAAAATAACACTGCTCAAATTCTGCATTCTCTGATATTGTGTAATGTTCATGCTGATCATTATGTATAAAACCAATTTTGTTTATTAATTAGAATTTATTCTTTTTCATGAATAGCTATTTAATTGAACATATAAAATGAACTAGCTGTTACCCGCGACTTCGTCCGCAGACATTTTGCAAGCAAACCCCATTTACATTCAATATTTCAATAACCATAGTAATTGTTAGGTCTATATAACACCTACCGCTGAAGAGATTTGCCGAGAATCAAACGAACCATTTTCAATTTGATCAATTTTCTGGAGCATTTACAATCGTTCTATAATCGAACCAATATGCAATAACAAAATTGAATTTAAAACGGTTCGAACATTTTTAAAATTGAAATATATAAAAATATTTATAACAATGTCTGAAATGTTATCAATTTAATACACCTAAGTACTCAATGAAGACTAAATGTAGTTGAAAACAAAAAATTGCATCTAAAATAGTAGAGTAGAAGCCGTTCTTCCGGTTAAGCCTTAATGCTCTCCCTCACCCCAGCGGGAGAATTTCTAAAAATCCCTTTTTAGTGTGCATTGCCATGACTTACCCTACTAAAATGCACATAAAAACAAAAAATCACATCTAAAATAGTACAGCAGAAGCCATTTTTCCGGTTAAGCCTTAATGCTCTCCCTCTCCCCCCCACTTGGGAATTTCGAAAAATCCCTTCTTAGTGTGCGTTTTCATGACGAACCCTAACTGTGTACCAAATTTTTGCTCTTTAGGTCCAGCGGTTTGCTCTGGGCAATGATGAATCAGTGAGTCAGTCAGGACAAGCAATTTTATATATATAGATAATTGCAGTTGCTACTTTATTCTGATAATAAAATGAATTTTCTCTATTCACTGTTGAACTGTAAAAATATATTTGTATTATAAAAAACTTAAGCATTGTCAGCATCACTATATATTATTATACACTGAGTGGCCAAAAAATTAGAGACACTCCTTATTTGAAAGTAAATCAGTCCGACAGTGATGTAGAGTGACGTAACAATGTAGAGTTGCTTATATAATGTATGCTCAGCTTTGGACAACGTAGTTATCATGGAAGTTAATGTCAAAATGGGTAAGACGAAAGATTTAAGTGACTTTGAACGAGAGATGATCATTGGTGCAAGAAGAGCTGGTGTTAGCATCTCTGAAACAACAACTCTTTTAGGATTTTTTCAACAGTATCTCAGGTGTTTAGAGAATGGCAGTTGAGAAAAAAAACTTCAAGCGATAAGGACAATTCAGGTCGAAAAAGGCTGGTGAACGAGAGAGGTAAAAGGCAATTAACACGCATAGTCTGCAGCAACAGAAGAGCAACAACACAACAAATTACAGCTGAATTCAATGCAGGTGTATCACAAAGCATATTTCAATGCACAACAAAACACACTTTGCAAAGGATGGGCTTTAGCAGCAGAAGACCATCAACAGTGCCTTTGGTATCACAGAAAAATAGGAAAAGGCATATGTTGTGGGCCCAGGAATGATGAAATTGGTCACTTGAGGACTGGAAAAAAATAGCCTGATCCAATGAATCTTGTTTTCTGCTCCATCATGCAGATGACAGGATTAGAATATGGGGCAAACAGCACAAATTCATGCCCCCTCCTGCCAAATGACAACTTTTTAGGCTGATGGCAGTGGAATTATGGTGTGGGGAATGTTTTCCTGGAGTACACTAGGTCCCTTGATATTTATGGACACATCTCTGAATAGAACAGCTTACCTCAACATCATTGCCAATCATGTAAACTCATTTATGGCCATAATGTTCCCTGATGGAGATGATCATTTTCAGCAGGATAATGCACCTTGTCACCGTGCTCAATTGGTCTCAAATTAGTTAGAGGAACATCAATCATACTTTAACCTGCTTCCGTGGCCAGCTCAGACCCCTAACCTCAATCTTATGGAGCATTTGGGGACAAAGTCAAAAGATCACTTCAAAGCTTGGAAATGCCACCATCCAATCTGACCCAACTTAGAGCTGCCATTATGTTAGCATAGGCTAACATTCCTCAGCAACGTTATCAGCAACTTGTTGAGTCCATACCAAGAAGAATATCGGCTGTGATCAGAGCTAAAGGTGGACCAACTCATTATTATTTTGGCCACTCAGTGTATATCTCTACATCATAAATAATTTTATGATTTTGATAGTAAGTGAAAAAGGTATGATAGTAAGTAAGTAAAAGTATGATAATAAGTAAAAAGTTATTTTGTAAAATGATAATTACCAGAAAGAATTGCTTCTCTATCTCCTTCACGTGTTGGTCGAATACGAACAAATTCTTGTCTTAAATTCAATGCTACTTCAGTATTGCTATTTATAAAAATTTTAACAGGTTTTTTCAATGATATAGTAGCAAGATCTTTTACCTGTTTAAATAAACAAAGGAGAAATTTTATTGGATAACAAAAATAGAAATACAAATATTCAACATTCAAAATTCTTACAATGTTTCAATGAAAATTTACTTTTATCCTTATAAAAAAGATTAACAATACTGTCACAGTACAGAAGATGGCAGATGATTCTTGTAGTAACAAAAATTGCTGTTCTGAGTTAAAGTAGGTCATTTTGACTATTCTAACTATATGAAAGCTATTGTTATATTTAGAATTTTCATTCATCTTTCTTTGTTGCAAAATTAACTTTTAATTACATGCAAAAAATATTTATTTAGAAAAAAAATTAATGAAAATATGAAATATTTAATTATCTTTTAAAAAATGCCAAAAACTTCAAAAATTTCTTATAATTTTTTTCCATTATTTTTACTTTCAGGATCACACAATAAATGTAATCTATATAAATTCACATTAATAAATATTGAAAAATTATAAAATGATAACTCTGATTAAAAAAAAAACAAAATATAAATCTAATTTTTTAAGCANCTTATAAATAGAATTATTTGTAAATGTTTACCTCGTCAGTCATTGTGGCAGAAAAAAGCATTGTTTGCCTTGTAGTACAACACTGCTGGATAATTTCCTTCATCTGTTCAGCAAAATATTCATCAAGCATCCTTCAAAATTCATTTTAATTTTAATACAAAAATTACCAGACTTCTGATATTAATTTAAGTTACATTTAATCACCTGTCAGCTTCATCTAAAATCAATATTTCAATAGTTTTTAAATTGAATGATGGGGTATTTTCAAGATGATCAATCAAACGTCCTGGGGTAGCTATAACTATATCTGGAATTTTTCGCAGTGCTAATTCTTGAGCCTTCAAATCTAATCCACCTATAATAATAAAAAAAAATATATATATAAAAAACCAAGAATTGAAATATTTTAAAATATGTTAATATATAAATGTTTTTATTTTATATTTGATACTACCTGTTGAAAGTCCTATTTCTACATTTGTAAACTGAGCCAGCCTTCTAGAAACTTGATAAACCTGAACAGCCAATTCTCGAGTTGGAAGTAATACTAATACCCTAGTAATTGGTTTATCCATTGGTTTATAAAGAAGACGTTCTAAAACAGGTAACATAAAAGCAGCAGTTTTCCCTTAAAAACAATAAAATAATTAGTCATAACAAAGATTTATTCAAATTTTTATACAAAAATATTTTAAAATTAAGAATAAAAATATATTATATTTTAATTTAATTAAAAAAATTACTTCAAATATAAATTACTGTAATTTCTTACAAATAATCCACAAGTTATTTGTGTTTTAAATTTAATTTTAAATTGCAATTATGAGTTTACTCGATAGCTTTTCTTTTGTCTAAATTTACTATGAGTATCTGTATAAAACATAAAAAATTATTTATATCCCATACATTTATCTGCCATCATCATTTTTCCCAAAATCAACAAAGACATATGTATGCCATATCTTTAGTTCTCTCATTTTTGGTATGTCAATCCATATTCTAGCTCCTGTTCTAGCTGATGTTATTAGACATTACCACATAAATTTGTATCTTGAAATCTAATAAATTTTTGGTAATCTCCTCCTTTTTATATAAGGACTCTCAGAAAACTATTTAGAAACTGATGTAATTTTGGCATAAGTCAGATTTTTATAGCAAATAAAAAGCTAAGTGATTGACTATTACACTTGAGTCATTAGCATAGAGTCTATGAGCAAATATTTAATTTACAATCGTAAATAAATATTAAAGAAGTACAATTAGAGGATATTTAAAATAGGAATGATAGCGATTGATGTGATAATATCCTCAATACAGTCTGGTTTTAGTTTGATAGCTTCTCTTAATTTTTCTTAGTGAAATCAACAATGATGTCATTAACAGCATTTACTTTATCATTTATGTGGGTTTGCTATAGGAATAAGCTAAATCCTATGGCAATAATCAATTTAATTTTAACAAAGAGACCAGGAACAATTGATAATTAAAGACACAGTAATATAACAGGTCACACATAAATGAGAACACAGTTGATGAGCTGTATATCTTAATAAACATGGTATCCATTCTTGTGTCTTCTTCCCTCTCTCTTCTCTAAGCAAACTCCCTCTTTTTCCCCAGACTCCACAAATCTTACATTTATTTATTCTATATCTGGTAGGACAAACATTCCAGCCAAGAGTGACACTGGCTGCATTGCACCTCAAACTTATTTATACCCAGATAGCTCTTCAAACATCAAGTATACCAAAGATATTATTCATGTTTAAATTTTTTTATTTAATTTTTTTTAGTTTATTTTAACATTTATTACTATCACTATTTTTGTGGTACTTACATGTTTTGTATGTACAGTAGTGGATATTTGGAACAGGTATGTCTATGATGTATGTGATTTTGTTTTGTTTGTCAATAAATGTAATCTGGTCTGTTGTGATATATTGTATTGTCTGTGATTATGCACAATCATAGTACATTTTGTGTGTTGTTTTCTATAACCACCTGAGGTGTGTATTTATAAGTTAGTATGTTAGTATGGTTTCTGGATGTGTATTAGTTTGTGTTTGTGTCCAAACTTTCAGTGTCTTATATTTGCTATTTGGTTATGTTTGATGTAAGTAGTCAGTCTGTGTTAAAAGCTAAATAAGTAGTCATCTATTATAGTTCTGTGTGTGTTTATTGTATAATTTCAAATGAATCTGTCAATACTGTGATGACATATTATGAAGTAAATCCAGAAAGTTCTATCAACATTTTTTCACTTTGCTTTTTACTTTCTGTAAACAAAGATTAAAGTAAAACAAGTGAAAAAATGTTAACAATGATCTTCCTATTAACATTTTTTCACTTTTCTGTCTTTTTTACTTTAATCTGTTGTTTACACAATCAACTTTCTATTAACACAAAATTTTGTCATTTTATGAACATAGATGCAAATTTTTATGTGAAAATTGGTTCTATCTGCAAATGTTGGCAAAACTTCAAATTCTTCTGCTGTAAAATTAAAATTGTCTCTAAGTCAGATAGATCTCTCAAATTTTCATCTCATGATATGTGTTGATTGTTTTAAATGATTTTTGCATTCAACCGTGTTGCTAGTATCAAGTTTAATCTGTTGTTGTATCCTTTTGTTAGTTTCTGTTTTATTTGTGCATGTTCTGTGAACTTTGTCCTGTTGGAATCCAAATAATTGCAGACTTTGTCCTCATCCATGAATTCAATAATATCTCCATTTCTGAGTATAAAGTCATTTCTCTTCAGGATTATTTTACAATGTGAAGTGTTTTGCATTTGTCTACATCATCTGATTTAGACAAATGTCAATGGATTAAATATGGGCAACTTCAAGTAGATGATTTATCTGTGTTTGTGTGATTGCATAGAATTTATGCTGTCAACATACAAGATAAAATAATATATATATTGTGTTGTTTTGTTGTGTTTGATATATCTGTATTTAGTGTGGTTTAACTTATTGAACAGTGAGTTTAAGGCCAGATGTAATCACAGTGGAGTAGACTTAATGGATCTCTCTAGAAAATGCATTGCCTTATGTGTGTTTTGTTTATTTTGATGCATGAAGTAGGAGGTGGAGTGTTTTTACTTTTTATTAAATTGTAATTCTGCCAGCCCTTTTCTACAAAGAAATATTATACTTTTAATTGTGTTGGGAAAAAATTTTCATCATTTTCACATGATGAAAATTTAAGAAGAGAATGGATTGTCACCTGTGAACATTTTAAACTGTTTTACATATTTGTGCAGAGGCATAGACTCTAAAGAAAGGTTGTCTCTGCAATGGAAATAGTTGTTCCTGGTGATTGGACATGGCAAGCAAAATTGGACTCGTATCCAGATGTATTTTACTTTTTATTAAATTGTAATTCTGCCAGCCCTTTTCTACAAAGGTGTAGTGTTGTTCTTCAGTGTTGCATTGTGTTTTCTAAAAATGTAACAACTGTTGGATTATTTTGTATGGATGTAGTATACGCAACAACTAAAAGTGTGAATTGCTACCAAATGTCTATCTGTAATCTAAGTATGCCCTGTATACATTTCTTTGTTGTTTGTGTTCTTGTTATCCACAAGCTACTATAACATATTTTTGAATTCTGCAATACAAGTGCATACAGTATGTCTTGACAGCTATTAAGATACTGCCAATTGTTAGCATAGGTCTACAATTTTTAGTTTTTCATTGGCAACATGCCTAATAATACCAATTCAGGTAGATATTATGTAGTATTTGGTTTCCATAACAGCCATAGAATTCTTTATAAGTGGTTTGAAGCTGTATGTGATGTACACAGAAACATGCATCAAGATTATCCATCTATTCTCACAATTGCAAATGTGAATGACAGGACTAATTGGGACCTTAATACAGCTGTAGAGTATGTCCGTAAGAGCAAAAAAGTCAAAGGAACCATACCTGTAAATGTGACCCTTTGCGAGATATAGCCCCCCAAAATCAGCCGCACTCAATTGTGAGTTACACCGCACTTCGCTACAACTATCATGTTTAACAATTTAGCCCGTGTGACTATGCCAGCTTCGAGTAGTCCACATAACTGTTTGGGGGGGTACTTGATGTTATACAGTTTTAGGTGTAGGAGCTCACTCCACCTGGGTGCTGAGATGCAAGTGACAATTAGCACCGAAATGCATGACTACATACGAAGCCTTGACGACACAGAGCATGGAGAATAGATAGTAGTACTGGTATACAGGGAAAACTGTTTTTGGTCAGTAAAAGTTAATGCATGTATTCAATCATTCCAGTTACATTCATTTTCACATGATGAAAATTTAAGAAGAGAATGGTTAACAACTATGCAAGTATATCCAGCTAGATAAATAACTTTGCTCTCATTAGATACACAAGTCCCTACAGAATGATTACTTGCAGATAGGGTTTGTGATGGCTCTACATTTGTCTTAAGGATACAAATGTTTTATGACAATTTACTAATTAAAATTTCACCTACTTTACCACTTGAAAAATAATTATAAGAGTCAAGAGTCCTATAATTAAGCATGTCTTGGTAGTCACAGGCTTCACTTTTAATAAGATATTCAAATATAGCTGGATATTCCAAAGGTGGCATTCTCTCATGTCATTATTTCACGATTTTATAGTACTAATAGATGAAAATAAATTAGAAAATACAAGTTTATAGAAGAAACTGTGAAAAACTGGAAATTTTGCATTAAACTTATTCTGTGAATATTTTTGACTACTTTTTGAATTAAACAGCAATATAAATATTTCCTGATACATAATAACAATGTTTATTAAAATTAAATAAGCCAATTTTGTCAATTATTTTCTAGAAACAAAAAATAAAAAAAAAAATTAAAAAATAGAATTTAAGTTTTCTTAATTTTAATTTAAATCTTTATCAGTTTTAAAAGATATTTCCCCACAATGCATGTAGCATGCTTTTTTCTTTACATTAGAAATAAAATTTAAACTTGTGTAAAAACAATTGAAAATACTCTCTTTATTATTTAAAATATAAAAACTCCTACAATTATTAACAAAGTGGGCTTATAAATGAATTTCTATTAGTCATTTCAAAATCAATTATATTCTCAATTCTATAGTTCTGCTGTTCCGTAGTTCTTTCAGTATCTTAATGGCAATGCAACAGTGGCACCACAGAATGGGAAAATGAATCTTCTCTGGAAACTTGTGGACAGAATGATTGAATCCATGAGAAACTGTTCTTTATATCCCATATGGTTCCTATGATAGCCTTTTTATTGTTCTGTGAAAATGTTGTATTGTTTTATATGATGGTATATTTTGTTTGTGATGCATGAAGTGAGTATTTTGTAAATATAGTCTTACTTAATTACATCATTTAATATTATCAGTATAGGAAAGTAATTACAATAAGCCAATTACTTATATTATAGAATTATTGCTATTAGTTTTCTTATTAATCTATTTATATAAATTAATTATATATTAATGAATTTTACCTGTTCCTGTAGCAGCACATCCATAAATGTCTCTTCCCATTAATGCAACAGGTATGGTAGCAGCTTGAATAGGTGTTGGATGAATAAATTTCATACTTGTCAATGCCTAGAAGCAAATTTTAAATAAATCATTTCAATTAGATGATATGTTACAGTTAAAATAATAAAAATACATAAAGTTTTTGTTTAAAAACATTTTAAACAAATAAATAAATGAAGACAATAATCTAAGGTTTAAATAATGTAAAAAATAAATGTAATATGAAATCAGTGGTTATCACAAGAACTTGTAATAGCCACAAATTTCAACTTGAGTTTGGATAAGAGAGACAAAACTAATGATTTGGGCTATCTTATTGACAAATTGCAGTAAGGAGGTCAAGACAGCTAGTAGTTGATTTACATTACATTATTTAAACCTTACATAGTTTCTCTATTGATTTAAGTGTTTAAAAAACTTTTAAAGAAAAATTTTGTCATAAGTCTGATTATTTTAATATAAATTTGAACCATTAATCTGCTATTTTATTCAAAAATGTATATTTGAACTGTTAATCTATTATTTTGTTCAAATGTGTTATTTTTTACATTATTTGATGATGAAAAGAGTAAGAGTAAATACTTTGCAAAACTGGACAATGAAACAAATATATAACCACAGTACCTTTTATTTAGTTCAACAACTTTATTTCTCTGTAAAACAAAACTTTTCAATCTTTTCCTAAGAACTTCTTCAGGTATTCCAAATAGGAAAAGTCTAAATAACATAATGTGTTTCAAAATTCGAAACTTCCAATCAAATGCACATAGATGGTTGACATAATTATTAAGATCACTGAAAAAAATGGATGGTAGAACACAGATATGACATAGTTTACAAGAAATCCACAGTCCTATCCAAGCATGTGTTGGACAATAACATCATAGCAAAATTAGATCAGGCCTCTTTAATAAGATGTGCCATCTCTACTGAACAACTCAAAGAATTGGAAGCCCTTGAGATCTTTAAAGCAGAACAACTTGGAGGCTGTATTAATTATAAAGAAGAGAAATGCATCTCTCACACTTGTCAAGCACATCTTGATAAATATTTATAATTTAATTATGTCAACCATCTATGCACATCTGATTGGAGGTTTCAAATTTTGAAATACAGTAGACCCCCTATAATGCAGGTTCATATAATGCGAATTCGTATATTGCAGCGGAAAAATTGTGACAGTATTCATATAAAGACGCTAACAGAGACTCGTAAAATGCGGTAAAACATCATCGCCAACTTGTGTTGCGACAGGATTGGTCGAATCTGGACCAATAGTGGACGAGCAGCCGAACTACTTACACGCTACAGTTGAGTTTACTATCGTCTGTACAGTATATAAATTAGGTACTGTAAGTTTAATACAGTACTGTAATTTTATACATTTCTTGTGAAAAAAACATTTCTTATTCAATAGCCATCAAAATTATTTCTATTAATGATGTCTCCAAAGTTCAACAAATTTTTCACAAAAAAATAACTTATCAGAAAACGCACCTGCCATTTGGTGCGCTGCACCGCGACGAAAACAAGCTTAAGCAATGACATCGTCAAATGGTGCACACTCAGTAAGTAATCCTACAATTTTTTGTTTATAGCATAGTTTATACAGATTATTCCCAAAAAATTATATGTGTTTTGGAAATGTTGAGTCAAATTAGTCTAGAATCGATTAAATTTATGGAAGAAAACCTTTCAAACAGCCATAGTCCATAAACTGCACATGTGTCGAGCTGTGATTGGTTCATGTATTTAAGGATTCCTACAACGCAAAATTCTTATAAAGTGGAACATATCTACTGCATTATAGAGGGTCGACTGTACATTGTGTTCTTTAGACTTTTACATTTTTGAACAATACCTGAGGAAGATCTTAGGAGAAGACTGGAAACATTTGTTTTACAGAGAAATAAAGTTGCTGACTAGATGAAAAGAGTTTAATCTTGTAATACATGTTAAACATGTTTTTATTTTTTGCCAATTGATTAGAAACATTTTTATATGTAAAATATTGCATTATGACAATGCCAATTACTCAAAGAAATTATTTTCAAATTTATCCAAAAATGATAAAACTCAAATTGTATCAAAGAAATAAAATCATGTAATCTTAATCCCTAACTTTTTCAATTCATGAGTTCTATGACGGCTTTTCTTTTCTGCTAGACTTATTACACCATCATCTTAGAAACAGGACAAGCTTTAGAAAATCACATTTTTAACAGTGTACTTTATTATGTATATTGTTTGCCTCTCACTGCTAATACTACTTTATGTATCATAACGTCATATCTAATGTAAGTTCACAACTTTTACATCTACGTTATATATATTATTCTTGTAAATCATTAACATTCTACTGTTGTTATAGCAAATGCCTGTAAATTAATAATTGTCATCCGTATTTTATCAATCGTCACCATTTCTGTGCTTCTCGTAACCATGTAAGTTAAAAATTTTTACAAATTTTGTAACACTGCAAAAATTTTGTTAACTTGTATGCATTATTTCCTAAACAGTTACATCATAAAGAGTTGATAAGGGACTCAAAGTCTGAAATGCATACTCTAGGAAATAAAAATGTGATTTTCTAAAGCTTGTCCTGTTTCTAAATGCTGGTGTAATAAGTCTAGCGGAAAAGGAAAGCCATCATAGAGCTCATAAATTGAATACAAGACTAGATAAGAAGCATATTAAAGAACCCTAACTTTTTTATTGTAATTTTTCATTTAGAAACAACGACCAAAAACTATTTCAAAATACAATTAAATATAGTTTTTAAGAAAAAATTACTTAATTCTGTTCTGTTCATTTTACATTATAAATATTGAAACTAGTCTAAATGAAAAACATGATGCTTCCTCTATCTACATTCTCTATTAAGTGCCTTTTGTCAGTATTACGTTTTTATTCCATTAAATTTATTTAAAATCTTAATAAATCTTATTTTATTAGTACTCTATTGAATAAAACAGATTTAAAATATTATGAGGAAAATAAAGAAATACAGCTATTTAAGGACACCAAAGTTTAAATAATGGCGAATTGCAGGATACATGCATTGTTATCCTGTGTTCATTTTGGACATTACAATGGACTAGAGTTGGTATGATTAAAGGTCTGAAAAAAGTTCTCCCTTAAACTTTGGTTTCCTTAAATAGTTATATTTTCTTTTTATAAATACAAAATAGTACCAAGTCTTACAGAAATTTCTGACAGATTTAAAATGTTTAAATCTGTCAGAAATTTTAAATATAACGTTTTGTATTCAACTTACTTCTATGACACTAAAATCATCTAACAATAATTATATATACAGTAATACCTCGACTTACGTGAACCCGGAGTTATGCAATTTTCAAATCTTGTGGATTAGTCTTTTGTTTGAGCAGCACGCAGCTCTTGATTACTCACTCCCCCCCACACTATTGTTCAGCTTACATGTTCGGATGTGTTGCATGGAATCGACGCATAGTTACAATTTATTTTGTGTTATTTATTTCTGTGTTTGTTATATCTACAGAGACTTGAGAGACTCTATATGGTGATTTCTTGTAACCATGAATGAATCAAAAGACAAGATAAGATTAACGAAAACATTTATTAGCTTACATACATCCGACTTGGATTTTACACAAATTGTGAAATTATACCCTGACTTATGCGAATTTGAGTTACGCGGTTATCGCTCGGTCCCACCTATCGCGTAAGTTCGGGGTATCACTGTATTATAATCTATACTAATATTATAAAGATGTAAAGTTTGGATGTAGGAGGTAATCTCCGAAACTACTCATCCAATTTCAAAATTATTTCACCAATATTTAGAATGGAACTTCAGGGTGGACATAGGCTGTACATTATTCCATTAAACATTCATATACATTAAAAGATATCATCTAGGATTAAGGCTTTTATCTCCAACAGATGACGCTAACTCTGCAAGTATGATGACCTAAGTTTGCTTTTCTGTGAAAATGAACTAAAGCACATCATCTATCTATATAAATAAAAATGTAATGTTTGTTTGTTCCTACTGATTCCTTTGAAATTTTGACACAACGCTGCATTTGAATACACACGTGTTTTTATACAGGGTGTATCAGAATGACGTTTTAAAAATTTGGGGGATTGTAGAGGATGAAATTTTGAACATTTTGATATAAGGAACCTATAGCCAGAAATGTGATATAAAGTTTCTACAGCACTTTGCATGTTTTATGCGGTTGGTATGCTGAATGAAACAGCAGAATACAGTATTTATGACAAGTTTTATTGACAAAACAGTAGAGTACACTCAAACTGTACATCAAATCAGTGGCTGTGCTACTTCAGAGTAAATGTTCAATGTGATGACCACCAATTTCAACTCACATTGACTAGCTGTGAGTTTACAGCATAGTGTCAGTGGATGCAAGGGGTGACCTGAAGGACAAGCACTAAGTACACAATGTCCTGTACACAGGCTCAGTTAGACCACTGTAGTTGTGTGTTTACATTCTTCCATCCGCAGCAATAACATGACGTCAATGGACGGAAGGGTAGCCACCAAAGTGAAGTGGTCAAGCACTTCCTACTGCTATAGACACTTTAGTTCAAATTTCCGGCTGTCGGTTCCTTATATCAAAACATTCAAAATTTCATCCTCTACAATCCCCCAAATTTTTAAAACGTCATTCTGATACACTCTGTATAATATACATGTCGAAATTCCCCTCACTGAGGTGAGATGGACAGGATTAAGGCTTACCGTGAAGAACTCTGCTTCTATTTAAACTATTTTTAGATGTGTTTTTTTTTTCATTTTAATAGGGTACATCAACAGAATATACACTAAAAAGGGATTTTTCGATATTCCCCTGCAGGGGAGAGGAACAGGATTAGATGCGGAAAATTTTAGATGCGGTTTTTTGTAGAACAGGAAAATTTTAGATGCGGTTTTTTGCATTTTTGATTGCATTTTAATAGGATACATCAAGAGAACGTACACTAAGAAGGAATTTTTCGAAAAATTCCCCCCACAGGGGAAGTGTTATACATTTATAATAGATACATTTTGAGCCACAACAATGCGTGGCTGGGTCTGCTAGTTCTAAATAATTTAATAAAGAATTAAATTAAAGGAAAAAACATGTATTAATATAGTAACTAAATCCTCATTTTTGAAACCTGCATATATTATAGTAATAATTATTTGTTTTTAAAGTGGAAAAGGA